ACATATAAAATGAAGGGAAAGTGAAATTAGTTCCCAGGACACAAATACATATAAACAGCACAGACATGTCCAATTTCTCTAAGCCAAGAAGATAAAATGTAAAATTTCATATCTGTACTGTACTATCTGCATTTTTTCATATGTTCTCTCCTTTCTAGAGCATGTCTTTAGTTGGCTTTCCTGCTCTTTCTTAATGTCTTAATAAATGTGCCAAATTATTATTATTATTATTAGTTTTAGTGTTAGTATATTACTGTATTCTGGCTAAGTTGTATTAACTGGTTTTGCTTAGAGTTTAGATATGAATAGCAGACACCCAGAATATATCTCAGATAATTCAATTATTTTTTATGGTATAAAGGATTCCAGTTTGCATCTTTAAAATTGAACTTGTGTGCTTAAAGACCTTTACTTTTATAAACTGCAGTCCTTATGTACATTTTAAGTGGTTTGCACTGCAGACATAGTCTGTAATTTTTTTAACTTATAAAACAGAAATACAAGTCCAGAAGAGCCATTTCAAAATAATAAGGATCACACTACCTCAACTCCATTCGAATACATAGTTAATACTTTATATTACATCATACATGAAATTCTATAATGTGTGAAGGTGGGAATATTTGCAAAATCAATTACATAGCAATGAAAGCAATATGCTATATGCACGCTGATTTGCAACAATAAATAAAAAATCACATGCATAGAATCTAATTTGTTGCACTGTGCCATTGTAATGCACATTTTTGAGCCCCACTTCTCATATATTAGCCCTTTGTTTTCACTGTTTATGTGTTGCAGATTAAACCATGTTTGTACCCAACATCCAAGAGCAAAATCAATGGTCTGAACTTTCAACTGATTAAAGAACAAACTAGAGCACCATAAAACAGACTGTAATGAGGATGTCCCTCACAACAGGTAAAATGTTCATCAGGATACATAGTATATGTATGTCCATGATTAACAGGGTTAATCTTTCAATTCTTTCTGTAATCTTATCTTAACAATGTAACTATGTATCATTTCCTATTAAATTTGAGGTAGTAAGAACGTCCATGGTCCCATACACTATTTACACAGCTCTTAAATACATTAGTTTACAGTAATAAGCTGTTAACAGGTATATAACTTCTAACTTGCAGTATGCAGATAACACTCATCAGAATACATATTGGATGTATGGTGCTGAATTATGTTTTAACACAAACACAGTATAAGAAACCTTAGATTCTTGATTTTCCAAAGAAAATTTCACTGTATCACTGGGTATGCCACTTAACTCTCAGGCTGCTCATAAAAAATGTACATTTGCTGTATTCACCTGCTTTTTAAATTTTAGAATTTGTACATCAATGAAATATTTCATTACTGCACATATAAATATATATAATTTCATCTAAAACTACATTTTTATCTACAATATTAGTTTCATACAGTTCTGCATTTTATAAAATTTCTCAAAGTAAAAAATCAGAGTCTGCCAGAAAACTTCCACCTATAATGCACAGTAAGCTTGTGAAGTGGTCTGTCCATCAAAATGAAAGGGTTAAAACAAGGTAGCAATTAAGCAATTCAAGATAAACTACCATTATAAATTACCCTGACACCCTTTCCTTTATTGACATACACTGCAGATAATATTGGCAAATAGATTAAAAATTGTATGCTAAAGTGTCTGTTGGCTAGAGAATTGTTTACTCTGACCTGGTTTTGCTAGATCCATGTCAGGATCTGTTATAGAGATGCTTTTGCTAAGAGTAGTTGATGTTCCACTAGGATGGAAATACCGATAATACAGCAACATGAATGCCAGAGCAAGAAGAAAGGCAACTACTTGAGCTACCACAGCACCATAGTACAGCACTGGATTCTGAGCTGAGCTGCTTGCTACACACCTGCATCAAGTACAACAAAATTTAAGTAAAAAAGCTATACACTCAAAATATTTGTTTGACAGCCATGATATTGCATTCAGCAAAGTGACTGGCTGTGGGCTTGATAATTGTTTGTTCTTCTCACCACCATTATGCCAAGAAGGGCATGGGGGCTTACATATTGCCCTAATCAGCGGGTACTGAGGGAGTTTTCCACAGAGATAATAATTTTATTTATATACAATTGTGATTAGACGGAAAAAACACGAATAATTTCCACAGAGAGTAGAGACAGCCAATGGATGAAAAGCTAATTACTTACCTCCAGCTAGTGCTGACATTAAGAATACATACAACTTAATCTTTGAAATGGCTGTCTTCCGGGTTATCGTGCCGTGTAGTCTGGTAGAAGGTTACGGACATTTCAGAGGTCCTTGCTGCCTCCATCATCATTGCCCTGATAATGGAGGCAGCAAAGACCTCTGAAACTTCAGTAAACTTCTACCAGACTACATGGCGCAACAAAACAGAAGACAGCCATCTTCAGACTCACCGCCATGAAAACCTCAAATACTACAATCTTTACATGTGACCAAAGTAGCAGAGCAACAGCTACATAATCTACAGAACACTTACCAAACAACAAGAGCTCCAGTGTTTTCCATGAAGAACACAAGATAATAGGCCAAATATGAGTATCTTGTAGGTCCATCTCGAGGTGCAATGAATGCCAAGATGTAGGCAAGTCCAAGAACCAAGCTGAACAATAACTCTTCACATCGACTAGCACAAACTGCAGTATGTTGATGTGCCAGTGCCAGCCATGCTGACATCACACACCAATGGCATAAACAAACTGTGCCCATCCATGCTGGGAATAATGATGCTAATAGACTGAGAGCCAGCACTCTTGACACTATAAAATGATGGAAACACCATTATATTAAGGCAATCTCCTTACCAAATTTATGAAGATGTGACATTTCCTACATGCCTGTGGTAATTAGAGATGGGTACCTCTACTTTAGTTCACATATAATTGCAAAACTTATTGAAGTTACCTGTGCTCATGAGATGCCAGCAAAACTGCATGACAGCTCCTTGCCATTCTAATTTTTCCTTGTCATCTCGGGCATATCTCACTGAACGGTGATATGATGTAAGTGACCATGCCACTGATACTAGTGAACATATCACTGCCCAGGCTTGGATTGCTGTATAAAAATCTTAATTTCATTATATATATATGTATGTATGTATGTGCAAAATCATAATATACACCAACTAGACTTTAATTAAATTACACTGAAATATAAACAAGATAAGAAGATTTCTGTCTCCTGGGTTGTTGCACTGTGTAGTCTGGTCGATGTTAACCAACGTTTCAGAGGTCATCCTGCCTCCGCCCTGATGATGGAGGCAGTATGACCTCTGAAACGTTGGTTAACATCGACCAGACTACACAGCGCAACAACCCAGAAGTCAGAAGTCTTCATACTCACCGCTGTGAAAACCTCAAATCTTACAAACATGATAAGCTTTGAAAACTGCATTGTAAAAGACGTAGTTTTTAGTTTCTTATTATTTAACACAAACACAGTCCGTGCACTAGCATTATGTACATGGCGAGAGTAAATTTAATTCACTGTAAATATATTACATATCTTGAAAATTATACTGCCAGACATATGCTTTACCCTGAATAGAGCTTTCATCTGATCGATTAGCATGGAAGATGAGAATCATGAGCTGTAAGATGGCCTGAGGTGCAGCATGCAGGAAGCAGTGAAATAATCTGAGCAGTGCTGCATCTGAATCTTCATCCAACATCTTCCTGTACATTTTCTGTTGCCGTATCCTATTTCCTGCCTTCCCAGCTGTAATACTATGTATGCCATAAGCCAGTGCATCACAGTACCTAGGTTACAAATAATGAATACAAAGTTAAAGTGTCATTATGTATAATGTAAAATTAGTAATTTTACAATCCATTATCAAAAAATAATAAATGTAAAATTAGAAATATGTCAATATAACAGGTTTGCTACATACTGATTCACAAAATAGCAGATAGAAACAACTGCACAAATTACACCAAATCCTAGTGTAAGAAGTAAGTATGAGACATCTGAATCCTCTTTCCTCATCTATCCTTACTTCGGAATCAGTATCTTCCTTTACTTTCAGTTCCATGTTGGATAATGTTCTCCTTCATTCACTTTACATGGCCAAACCAAGTCCATTTCTTTCTAAATCCTCTTTGTCTTCTAGTCCTCTCAATTGTACTTCTTGAGAAACTATAATACTAATTATTAGATCACACAAATCAAATTATTAATAATTTAAATTTATAAAACATTAACAAATTAAAATGGCCAATTGACAGGTCAAAAATATATCTTCTTGTCAATTTTGAATCTGTTAATAGAGGTTGACATTAAATCCATACAATGAGAGGGTTGTTGAAAGCATACTTTCAACATTTATGTATCAAGATTCTGTGGCCAATTACTTATCCTATGAAGAATGAACTATGCAACATGCAAAAATGACTGGACTTTTAGAACTAAGCCTAAAACAAGTACTTATACATTGCCTAGCCCAACCTAACATGTAATTCAGATTTCACTACCAAATATAAGACTAACAATGCCTACTGTACTTTGTCTATGAATTTTATTTTGATTATTATTATCCCCCCCCCCCAGAGCTTCACATTTGTCACTAATTTCATGCCTTAAATAAGTGCTTCACAGAGTGTACCATGGCAGGAGAATGGATTAATGGATTTATTAAGGTAAGGAAGAAATTTGGTCTGTTGCATATCCAGGTAGAGGAATCAGTAGTCTCCTATATATTGAAAGTGAAAATCTGTGTGCTAAGATTGTTTAAGTTTGCTAATTTAATACCACAAATTACAACCAAAAGTGACAAAACAGATATTAAACCTATACATTAATATTTTAAATACATTTTTTATTCTCATGTCAAAGAAAATTATTTGAAGTTCACGAGCTAACAAAATAATGAAAAAAATAACAAAACACATGAATTATGAATAAAATCTTAATGTCAGAATACCTCAGTATTGGTGCCAACTGAAGCAACAACATAATGATCCGTAGAACCCATTTCCAAAGTGGGGGTTTTGAAAGAGTAGGTTCATCACCATCAATTATGTACCTGAAACATACATAATTTATTACTGTAAAGGAAAATGATAATCCTTGCAAACTTCCTATTATAATACAGAGAATACACATAGAAGAAATTATGTGCCAATGTGTTGAAAGAATTACATGAACCAGAATACTAAATAAACTTATGGGCCAAAGACGTACATAATGACTGAAACGAGATATCCTGAAAGTAGAGAGGTACCATTCATACTGCAGCTAGAACAGGACAAATGCGAATTAGGATGACAATAAATTTAAAATGGATGGTCTTTCCTGTGTCACATCTAGAATTGTTCAGACATAACGAGAATAAATATTCAGGTTATTCATTTAAAATTATTACCATACTATTGACATACTCCACATATCTCCTCTTATAAGCAACAGTATTTAACTAACTCGCTGGTAGCAGAACCTGCAGGTTCAACACTGACAACATCAATGCAACTATTTAAAAGCATTAATCTAAAAATATTTATGAAGCTAAGTGGCATTCATGAGTGAATTTTCTGTTATAACAGCAGCTTTCACTTGCATTATATTTAGCTTTTATTGTAATATTGAATCATAAACTGAAAATAAGAACAATGAAAGGGAATAACCATACAAGGCATTCAAAATGTGTTTTATGCATCTGATATAACACAATGAAAGCCGAAATGAAATTAACTCAACTAATCAAAATCAACCTACCTGCCACCCTACTTATTTGTTGAATAAATATAAAAGTACAACCAAGACCAAACACATATATTTATTTTGGATGTTCGCATGGGTTTTGTTCCACCCACAGTATTAATTTTTTAATTAAAACATTCATGGGGCTGATTGAGGATGAGGTGCATATTACATATAAATACAGACCTAACCATAATATGTCATAATTTGATTGCAGTGATTAAAAAAAATCCAATAAATACTACGATAATGAGCCTTAACATTCGATCAAACTATGATACATTAATGGACTACTCTCTCCAAAACATGCGGCCATACCGCCCCAGACCCACAGGTCACACCGTGTTTAACCTAGCGTTCCAAACATGTTTCATGTTAGTTTTCTCTCATAAAAAACACTTGTTAGATAGCAGGAAAATTCATACCATCTCAGGCTAAATGCCGTTGTAATAAGTGCAGGAAAAATAAGAAATGTCACCGTCAATGCGAAATAGGCACCTTGTCCTTGACGGTAGTAAAAGTATGCCAACCAAGAATCAAAACCAACATCGAGCGCGAATGTCGTTATTGACAACAGGAGACAAATTATGTGGTATATGCCAAATACAGAACGCCCTGGTTGAATATGACTTTCTTCGGATACGTTGTTACTTAAGTCATCAGTCCTAATTCTAACAGAATCACTAGAGAAGTTGACAACAACACATTCCGCCATTTCTGGGTGTACGCCTCTTTTTTTCAGTATTTTGACACAGACCTGAAGTTATTTAATCGACCTATTCCACAGTTTCGATTACACGACGGATCTGTACAATTTCGATATTATCGAATAGGTTGCAAAAATTCAGTATTTGGAATTGTCAATCTGTTTATTCGTAACAATAACAATATATGCCTACAAGTGGTCCGCTTGACGTCTCTAACGATATCAAGAATGAACGTAAAAATTATATACTATGATAAATAACCATGAACCTCCTCATTGAGAACTTCATACTTCAATAACAAGGATTAGAAACGATGACGATAACAGTCCTTATTAACTTTAAATAATCGATCATCTGTGAGTTCGATTAATCTAAGCAATTTCCTAGCTCTGCGTACGTACAGAATTTGACAGGTGTCATGTTTTTATAAAATATGTGAGATTTATAATTATGTATCACTTTTGATATTATATTGCACAGCATACATCCTACTCCAATATGTCTTCGGTTTTAATAAGTGACAGTAAGAGTCCATGTTATAATAAAGAAGAAGAAGTCACTTTGCAGAGTAATACAATTCAAGCGAAAGTGTATACCACAGATGAAGTGGATTATATACCAAATAATGCCCATGTTACTAATTTCGACATATTTGCTCTGGCAGTGTCGATAATTAGCCATATAGTTGATATTGGCTTAGATATTAATTTAGCCTACCGTTATTTCCACGGCGGTAGGACTGAATATTTTATTCTTACCGTGTTATTTATACTCTTTCCTGCTTTGGTGAACACTATCATCAGTATCAGAATGTGAGTACTATGTTGCTCATAGTCTCATTTTTGTTTTGTTTGAGGAGTTCATATTCATGTGGTTTGAAATTAGACGTTCTTACTGTTGCGTGAATCATTCTTAATTATATTTATTATGCCATCTGACATTACAATTTTATGCAATTCTTTTGATGGAATTTTTGCAAATATAGGTTGATGAATTAATGATATTAAAATCATGTATTATAACTGCCATTTCTACTGTAAATGTATGCAGTGGTAGCTTCTTATGATATGATGGTCTACAAATAAAACATGCTGCTTTTTCTACATTTAACTGTTTTCTGTTGCATACTGTTGACAGTGTATTTTGATGAACTTATCCACTGATGTGATGTTTTCTAAAGGCTGTAATAAATATAATGTTGTTCTACTGGTTTGCTGTACCCTTTCATCAAGTGGCTGCATTACAGGTATGCATTGGATAAGGAAAGTAATTCAGTATCAAAGATGGCATCTAGAAAATGGGTAATTCGTATTCTTGTCTTGCTACTCCAACTTGCACCAGTCCTGAGGTACTATTTGTTATTGTGACTGTGTAATATATGTGTGAAACCAAGTTTGCTCAAAATAAAGAGTACTGGCTTCCATAATTAGGAGAAATCAGGCTATGTCACAGTGCCTATCCAAGGATATCAATTATTTGAATGAATTAAGTGTTGGTCCTTAAAAAAAGACAGGTTTCATTCTGGTTTGATATAACATCTAACATTATCTGATTTATTGAAAATAAGGTTTCATCTTGATATAATGAATTACCTGATAATATAATGAAAATCTATGTAATCTTTATTAGTAAGCCAGAGGATGTAAATTTATTTCAATTATTTGATTCATGTTTTGCAGGTAAGGCCTGCACTAACTGTAGAATATGATGGTGTTATCCCCCATGCCACAGGCTCCTAATATAAATTTATATAGCAGGAATAATTAATTATTATAGATTAAATGGAAATGTTAGAAAAGGAATAATTAGCAATAGAATTTCTAAATACTTCAGAATACATAATGTTTTAATTTAATTATTTCTGTACAGGTACTGTGATTCATTAAGCTATGCACTGAAATCTAGACGTGCAGAGAAACAAAAAGATAGTGTGAACCAGTGGCGGTATTATGAAAAAATGCTGAAGGAAGATTGTGATGTGGCATTACTGCGTGTGTTTGAATGTTTCTTAGAAGCTGCTCCACAGCAAATTCTACAAATATCTATTTTATTAGTTGATACTAGAGATGGTTCAACTTTCCAGTGTAAGTCACCATTGCCATAAGATCAAAGAAAACTAACAACACGTGAGGTATTAACAGCTTCTTTTGTGGGCATACATGCAAATTTAACAAGGTTAACCTGTTGCAATTTCAACAGCATATTTATAAATGCATCCACTATACAGGTGTCCCAGGAGGAAAGGTCAATATTCTGGGAGGTCATAGTATTGGTCATTCTAAGCAAAAATATGTATATGTACATGTCCTATTCTGAATGGTTTCTGAGATAGAGCTATTTCACTGTATAGTAGTTTGGCAACTAAGCAACTCTAACTTAACCTGTTCCCAGATATGAATTTGTCAGAGACGTATAAAAAAGAAGGTATAAGTACAATTACAAATTTTGAATATATTATTGTCATTAGTAGGACTTCAGAATATTATATGGACAAATTAGTTACAAGTAACAGGCTACCATATGAAGTTATGCTTGCCCTCACATGCATAAGTTCAAACGTGCATTCGTTTTCTTCCAATAATTGTCTGGTCTTTTTTTAAGGGTTGCATCAAGCTGGTTCCATCATCAGCTCACTACTGAGCATGGCATGGTCTATGGCTTCATATCACCGCTCTATACGATTTGTTCAAGACAAGAAAGATAATATCTCTTGGAGTGGTACAGTAATGCACTTCTTGTGGCACTTTATGATAACAGGTATGATTTAGTTGGAAAACTACAGAATTGTCCACTCACTACACTTAAGTAGTCTGAAAAACAAACATGGTCTCCCATTTGAAATAATGAAATATTCAGTTGACAGACATTCACCAGTGTTAATAAGATTCAAATCATACAAGTTTGTTATTTGAAAATAAGTATGACAGATATTTGTGATTTGATATTTATTTATTTATATTTTATTTAACAATGCTTTTTCAGTAGCTCAGACTGTATAGCATTGAATGAGATGATGATAGTGAGTAATAAATCAGAAAGGGCGTGGAAGGAAGTGATCGTGACCTAATTTAAGGTACTGTCCTGGCATTTTTCCTGGGACTGAGAAAAACCACGAAAACCCCAGTGAGGATAGCCAGTCTCATGGCTGAGATTTGAACCTGGGACCTCCCAAAAACAAACCAGGAGTGTTAACCACTCGACCACAGCATTCAGAATTATTGAATTATTCACAGAATCCTGAAATATATGATTCTACATAGTAAAATTATCTTGAAGTTATGCCTCTTTTAATTCACAATGCTTGTTTCTTGCATTGATAGCTGTACACCAGTTGCTCATATTTTTAAATTTGAAATATATTTTTCTTCTTTTCTGTGGAGTTTATGCACATTTATTTTATCTATCTCATTTCAGGCAGCTGTTCATTGTTGAGTTTCTGTGTTATAAATTTAGACATTATTAAGAAACATTAGGATACAAAAAAGAAGTTACCGAGTTTCCAAGTAACAGCTCTGGACAATAGCAGGAACATATGTTCATGAGATTTGAGACTTTCATGGTGAGGATGATGATTGGATTTTGGCACCATGTAGACTCATAGGTAGATTTCAGTGCTCCAGAGAAACACCCTGTCTCCATACTTCAAGATGTAAATTGCGTGTTTCTCCAAAATGTTGCCATCTACATATGAATCTACATAGTGCCAAAAACCCTGAAGATGGATACAGTATGTTTCTCTTAAATATTGCCAAAACCCAGAAGAACATGTTCATATTTGTGCAAGTGGAATACATATAAGAAGTTCATTAAATTATCAAAGTTAGTTGGTATATGATCATGATTTATATATTGTTATTTAATTTCAGTTTCACGTATATTATCAATAAGTGTCATAGCAACTTTATTTCCAATATGGACAGCATTAGCATGTGCTATCCATTGGTTGGTAATGACTACATGGCTATCTCTGCTGGATCGAACAGCCTTCTGCAAATCCTCACCAAATGGTGCTACAACGAAGGAACGTGTAGGTGAAATCCTCTTTGCTGCTACCTTGGGGTTAGTCTACATTTTCACATACATCACACCCAGTGAGGGCAGAACACGTACAAGGTACTTAGTATATTACACAGTTTGCTTTGTAGAGAACTTGATATCAACTGTGATGTGGGCCATAGAGGCATATCCTCAAGTCAAAAATACATGGTATTTTCTACCACTGCTCATATTTTCCACTGTGCCTTTTATAATAGGAATTATGTTCATGATTTTATATTACATGTATTGTCATCCAAAGGGAATCTCTCCAACAAACCACATTCAGTCAAATTTTAATTCTGCATTAGCAGATGACACAAATACCTCAGAACCTCAAGGATAATAAACATTTAGCTTATGAATTCTCATTAGAAAATATTTTTATATGTGAAAAGAATGCTAATATTTAAGGATTGTAAGGTAGTTTCACACAGCTTACATTAACAACTGACTTGAAATTAAAAAGTTGTGGGTAAAGTACAAAGCGTACCAAAAGAGTTCAATTGATTTAATGGAAAATGCTAATTTTTACTGTAATATTTATTTAACTGTATTGATGTCTCCAAAACTGGAACCAAAATCTACCAGCCATCAGTGGGAAGTAGCGTTACTCAGTTTTATTTATACTCAGTGTTTGAAGTGAAAGAAGTAAAAAGTGGATGGTCTGTGTAATAATTATATCATTGTTTAATTTCTGTTCCATTTAAACAGATACGAATGTGTTGTGTTGTTAACACTTTCATAAGTATGCATATACACAAACATTCTCTAACTTTGTTTCAGTAGAATGCACATTCACATATTTGTGCGCTTCCTCCTTCACATATTATCTTCATCTCTTCAGAACTAATGTAAAACTGAAATAAGAAAATCAAAGTCCATGTCAGCCTACTTGTAGCCAAGGCAGCACAAAGCTCACTTCCAAAGTTGTGAAAATTATACAAATTTGAAAGGTAGTGATGTATAAACTAATTTTTGATTACTGAAATTGTAAAAATAATTCTCTTTTGTGGGGTCAAACATGACAAAAAACTTTACAAAAGAATAAACTTCAGCTACATTTACAGGTTGTTCTGCATTTTCAAAGTCTCCTGAATTTGCCACTGAGAAAATTGAGATAAAGTATTTATTTATTATTACCAGAACTAAATATGGAAAAAGAATTCTCTAGTGGGTTCACACATGACAAGAAACTTTACAAAAGGATTAACTTCAGCTACAATATTTACTGTTAGTCTAGCAGTTTCAGTTTTCCTCTCCTTTTCTTCTCTCTCTCTTTTTTTCCCCCACTGAAGAAATTGAGATAAATTATTTTCATAACCAATGAAGACAAAATCTAAATGGTCAGGAAGAAATTTCAACGTCTGAACAGAAACAGTAGTCAATGGCATACTGAGGCATGCAGTAAGTGAGAGTGTGAGAAAGCTGTTATCACATGCCAGTGCATGCTTCCAGTATTTCCAGCCTTCTCACCTGCTATGTGGACAGTAAGCATGTTTCTAACATGCAGACACACACAAAAGAGAATAAGGATCAACCACATATGTAAGAATGGTACAGAAGGTATCTGGCCCTGTTCTTGTCAATTTTATACTAGTGCAAATAAAAATCCAGTAACTGTAATGTATCTTAAGAAATCTGATGTGTACTGTAAAGTGATGTGATACACAAGTGAACAATAAGATATTAACTGTACATAATATTTATAGGCCTTTTCATGATGTGAGCCATATATTTTTCAGTGTTATGTTTGTATATATTTATAGAGTAATTTGAAGTAAAATTTCTATGAAGGCTAATGTGGAGTATGAATTTAATGTTTACATTGGATGCCATACCTTTACATTAACACAATAAAAATATCATCAAAATATATGTTGGAAATTTATTCACCCAACATGTTTCAGACCACCAGGGTCATCATCAGGGGTATACACAAAGTTAATACAGGACATGTTTCTTATAGTACACAATAATTGTTTAATAAAATATGGTTCATGCACTTGGAGATGAATACAGTCATTAAAATTAATATCTGAGTTTACAAAGATCAGAAACTTTAATTTATTTAAAACCATATGGTTTTAGAAACTGGTGTAGAGCTGCTTACTGCCTCTATCATCTGGGCAATGATAGTAGTAGCAAATCACCTCTGAATCATAAGTAATTTTCTACCAGACTACACAGTGCAACATCTCAGAAGATAGTCATCTTCAGTCTATCAAGTTTATCAAAATAGTCAATTATTACACAAACATTTCTTATGATGCATACCTCACCATGAGTTATAATTCTTATTTGAAACATTTATTTTGTGTACACAAGGCTGTGTAAATAATTATTTAGTTACAATAAAGTAAAATCAAGACTACAGAAGGATGAAGTACAGAAAGAAAAGACTGTATTCTGTACTGTTACACTCTTGATTTAATTTGCATTGTTTCCTTCCTCACCACAACATAAACATCCTTTCAGTCCTTGTCTTTATCTTTAGATCTACTTGTAATTAAAACTACAACCACAGACTAGAATTACTTTACTTTTTTTTAAATCTTTAGGCTTTTGTAGTGGATTGTTACATGTATTTACATTTATATAAATGTACTAGTCCATTAGGCTGTGGATAATATAGAAGTGGTGGATCAAATATTGTTCACCTTCCTTGAAGATGGACACTGATAATTTTTACAAAACTAGCCCACCACAACACAAGTGTTATACCTAAAAAATGAAAACAAGTGCTTGAAATACTGTAGTGTGCAAGGAAAAGGAACTACTGGAAGGATGTCTCACATCCTATACTGACATTTAAGGATGAATATTGCAATTACCAACATTATATAACACAATTTATATGATAAAGTATATTTTAACAGTAGAAATGAATATCGTTACAAGCAAGATTAAGCACGATTCTGTATACAATACCTATTAATTGTGACTGTAACAATAGCATATTGTGTAATATTTTGATGCGACACGTTGGAATTAGAAGGTACAACATAAGAAGCTTAAGATAGTGTAATTGCGTCATATTGTGAATATTATATCAATTATTTATTTTAATCCGTCTGATCACAATATAATTTTATTTAAAATTTCTTATAATTAAGATAATAAAATATCATTCATGTTCCTTATCGATTGATCGATTTACATTTCGGAACATTTACACAACATGTTTCAGTTTTTATAAAACCATCATCAGGTGTAA